TACTGGCTGCGGTACCACGAGCATACTCCCTTCAAGTGTCAAGACGCCTCCCCCCGTCTGTGGTTATAACAGCCCTGGCGTAGTTGCTTTTCCTGAGCCAGGAGTGTCAATGGGAACAGTGTCAATGGCATTGATGACTGGAGTTTCTCCTGGAATTGTCTCCTCTTCATCAACCACCCCCACTGCGACTTCTAGTTCTGGCTTCCTTGGCAGTATCTCAAGTTGCTCGGACGGCTGGCTAGCTGAGGCCTCATCCCTTGGACTTGTGCCTAATGCCGGCCCTCTGGTGATGCTGACTGGGACCCCCACGGGCCACCTAGCAAACCCGCCTTCCTCTTGTTCTTCATCGTCGTCACCCTCAATATCTTCGGCATGTATTTTACCCTCAACCTGTCTTGAAGAAGACCTTCTCCTTATGTCTGAGACGACAACGCCTGCCTTGAACAAACGAACTGCAGGGATACCTCTTGGTCAAATGGGTCAAATGCAGTCTAATGGAGATTTTCAGCCGGTGTCTGGAGCATCGGCTGGCCTTGGAGTTGTCGGTTTGGTAGGCGACATTGACGGACGTACTCGAGCGTCTCCTAGTCGCACAGTCATTTCGAATCCAACCAACCTGCCTGCCGGAGACAGCTTCGTGACTCTAACTCCTGCCCCGGGCGACCCACTACCTCAAGCTACCTTGAATGGCATTGCTCTCCTGATGCCTGTTGTTCCCGTCCCAGGTCATCAAGCCCCCTCGTCTGCCTTCGCGGCTAGCGGGAGCCCAGTTTCTACCTCTTCTGCTCGTACTTTAGGCGGAAGGCTTGGTGGAAAATCCTCTGCCCCACCCACTGCCACCATATCGGCTAGCAGCTGCAGTGGTAGCAATATAGGCTCAACCGATTTGGCATCTGGAACTAGCACAAATATAACTCAAAACGTCTTATGTATAGGAAATGAAGCCTTAGGAGCCAGCCGAGAGCAGTTGTCGAGCGAAATAGCCATGGCAGCGACAGTGGCCAAAGCGACAACCACCACAACAATGGTGACGGCGAACTTAGTAACAAGTGGAATGGGGACGTCGGGTGACAAAAAGTGCAAAGTTTGTGGGGATAAAGCAGTGAACCATAATTTTGGCCAGTTGACCTGCGAGTCTTGCAAAGCCTTCTTTCGACGTAATGCGCACAAGGTAGGCATTTAGTCAGTTAGTATGTCGGCCTTTAATTTTGTTTATATTCTGTAATAATTAATTAATTCACTCTTATTTATTTTTTTCTTTATAATTAATCGCCACAGGTAGTTATCTAGTTTTTTTATTGATTTCTCTATCATACACATAAACCTATGCATCTAGTTTTCATTATTTTTATGGTAGACGTATAAGTACATATTTAGCCTTGCTTAGTCCCTATGATTTATTTTAGTTTATAGAACTTATATTTTCCAATATTCTAATATTTGTGTTAAGTTACCTTGACATACTCTCTATCTATGTTAGTATAAGTTCCACTAGCCATCTTGTTTTTCAATTCGACTTATATATCTTCTTAATTTATCAATTTTATTCTTATCCAAACACCTTTCAATCTATTAATTTTTATTTAAATCTCTTGTTTCATTATTCTTTAACTTTTTTATATAAGTCTTTATTCATTTATTATTCCAAATTTCCTTCCAACCTTTGTTATACCTCATTTTAGCTCTATTCACCTGATTTTTATCCCTTACTTTTAAGTTTATGTATATATGCTTTATTCGTATAGACTTTATGGTTCGATAGACTGTCCCAACACGAGATTTTCGGTTGCAGACTGCCTATTATCAGTTTGTATTTAACTTTTACATTCTATTTTTAATTGAAATCTTGGCGAGTCACTTCTTCCGATGCGCGATTAATTTTTTCTTCAAAGGCGTAATTATATTTCATAAATATTTAACTCAGGTTCGTAATTTGGATCATATATCTTATTACAATTCGCTTTTAGTCATTAGCCTCGGACGAGCTGGTAGTAAGGTTCTTTTATTATGGACATATTACTCACTGCCAATACGGATTTCCACTATTTTAGCTCTTCTCTTTATTTAACTATTCAAAATAGGCCTAAATATTCATTCATTCTCCGAAAGTGGGGTACTATTTTTCACTGTCAAGCCAATTTCCACTATGTTTTGTCTTATATTTGCCTATTTGCCTATTTGATTTTTTGATTTCTGATTTCCTCCCATGCTTAGGTTTTCCTATTAGTATAGTATTCCAGTCATACACTATAACTAGGCTATTCACATACTTATCTTCCCCTGTCTAATAGAATCCAAACCCATCCTTTCCGTCCTTCGTTGCTTCCTTTTTGCAAAAAATAGGACCTGACCCTTGAAAAAATGGCTCTTATTTGCTATTTTTTGTCGGAAAACTAGACGAAATTTCGCCTTCCTGAGGCACAGAATGTCGGTGCATCTAAGAGATCCATCTTGGCTTATTTTGAAGGAAAGAACTTATGCTTGAGAATCCGTTTGGCCAGATTGTTCATCTTGGAGTCCAGAATTTTTTACATATTGTACTGAAAATGCCTCAGACATCATCTGATTATTTTCATTCTTGGAAAATTTCGATGGTACTTTCTTTTCACCACATTATGAATGTTTATCCAACAAAGTTTCTCGAACTTTCTTCCGAGCAAAATTCGGCCTGTAATATTTTTCATTCTTCCTAAATGTAGTGGCTAGGCCATTTTCAAAGGTAACTCTTATTGATGTTACATTCAGAAGCCGGATTGTTGCTTTAGCCTAGGCTGTGAATTCTCTTTAACATGGTCCATACAATTATGGGAAACTCGATATTAAGTAATTGTATCTTATACTTATAACGCTGTTGGTCATGTTAGATTTATCCTGAAAGCTTGGTAAATCACTCATGCTACAATAGAGGACTTGCTTAACAGCAATCCTCAGATGACCTAGAGGAATTGGTTCTGACAGTCATTTTCATGCCACGGTAGATTTATGATCCCTTTGATATTCTACCTTGAGCTCCAGTTTAATTGTAAAATCTATTACACTATAGTATTCAAAATATTGCCTGGCTCTGGATTTCATTTGTGAACCTTCACGGCCCCGCTTGAAGTTTGGAAAAAACCTTATTATTAACTTAATTATGCAAGATGGGCTAGGATAGAATAAACTAAGCGGGTCACTCTATATCTCATATTGAAATTCAAAATTCTTGCTCTGATATGATGCATGCCACTAAGAAATATATTCATTACATCTTATTCCGAATGACCTTGGTAATCTCGCATCGGAATTTTTGGGGATTTATTTATTCGTTATGCATTTAAGGAACATTATTATTTTTGGTTGCTAAGGTGATTTCGGAACCCTCAATATTCCACATTTTAATAAATATATTTATGTATAATTCATTTTAGTCAGGGTCAAATTAGACCCTGCTACCCTCCATAATGATGATTTAGAAGACTAGCAAAGTATGGTACTCTCATTATGCAGTCAGAATTTCAGTTAAGCTTTATCCATGATTTGACCAGTAATTTAACTCACTTGTCGTGGTAACGAATGTCTTCGGCTGGTTTTCTAGACGTTCAAGCGTACATTGAATTTGTGGTTACTATGGTTTATTCTTTCGGTCATCTTTACTGATGAACAGTGCTTGCTCATATATTGACTTATCTTCTGCAAGTTCTGTGTTTAGATGGAACGAGTCTATGTCTGCCTGTCATTATCATTTTCAGCATTTATGAGAAATGGATGGTAATGCATTTGCTACAATGCTTAGCCTAAGTCTCTTATCTTTTTAAATCAGTACATTTTTCTACTTATACTCATTCCATCTAAAGTGACTTAAAATGCTTCAAGTTCTTACAAATAAATGTAATATCCGTTTTTAAATTAACCATATCATTAATTGTAGTGGTAGGCACAAGTTTACTTTATCGATACGAGTTCCTCTAAAAAATATGGAATGGACCTCAAATTATGGCTCGCTTTGAAAGTCAGACATAACCTGTGG